TCGCGCCGTTCTCACGACCTCTCAGGTTGCCTGAGCTCATCTGGGAGCTATTCATTTCCTGCCAGAAAGCAGCCCGGCCTGCTAAGCAAACCACCTTGGCCGCAGGGCCGCCGGGGTTGGGCCGGCGAGGCCGCCCCGGCTTGCTCCCGCCCGGGCCGCTGGCCTCAGCGGCCTCCCTGGAACCCCTGGGCCGCCCAGGAGGGCGCGCGGCGGGGGCAGCTCGGCCGTCCATCTGGTTGTACTTAGGAACTGGGGAGGAAGCTAGCTGCGGGTTGTTACCGGCCAAGGGGTGTGGGAAAAGTTAATTGACTTTAATGACAGGTTTCCCGGGACGGTGGTGACGACGAGGGGGTCCCATTTAACCCCTGGGCCCCTACTCCAGAAACATTTGAGGTGGAATGGAGCAAGAGAAGGGAACGCGTCTGGGAGTCGCGTTTATAATCCCTCTAAGAGGAGGTTCCTGTTTCCACCGGGGAGAGCCCCCCCACACCCCCCGCCCATCCAGTTCAGCGCCTTTCCCGCTCCGGAAGTTGCCCAGGACCGCGGGGGGCCGGGGCCCGGAGGGTCTCCATTGAGAGGCTAATGCGCTCAGCGGCCGCGGCCCCGGGCCTGCATCCGGGCGTGGAGCTGGGAGCTTTGCCTTATCTCCCTAAGTCCTAGGCACTGCCCGGGGCGGGGGAGCCTGGCTGTTGGGTGTGCCTCGCGGCCTTATAATTAAGCCAGGCCCGAGGAATCCGAAGGGGGGGGGGTGCCCGCGGTGGAGATGGGGGAGTGGGTGAGAGGTAACATTGGAAGTCTTTGAAGCTCCGTTTCTTCCCCAGCTAATTACGCCAGAAACAGCCTCGGTGCAGGGCCTGGGGTCTTAGACATAACCCTACTCATTTTACAGACTTGGAAATATCCCAGAGAACAGAAATGACTCATCCAAAGTGACACAGTGAATTTAGTGGCACAGTTGGGACAAGAACCTGAAAATCCCCATTGGGGCCTCAACCTTCTCCTCCCCCTCTTCCCACCCCCAATTATTCAGAAACAAAAGCCTCATCTAATGCCTTAACCCAAATTTCAGGGGGGGGGGGTAAAAGACTTTCCAAACTATAAAGAATCAAATGTTTACTTCCTTTTATTCAATTGGTTACCCCCCAACCCCAAGCTAGCTATGTACTTTTGGTGATATTAATAAAAATGAACTTTGCCAGTTATTCCTCATCAGTGCCAGGAAAGACAGATAAGATTTAGCTTTACAGTTGGTGTAGCAATTGCATCGGTGCGTTTGTGGATCTTAAGGTACATAAATGTGCATGAAAAAGATGAAACCCTGGTGTCTTGATAGTTTTTACTAGTACAATTAAGGCCTTCTAGTGGAGCCAGAGGACAGTGGAACTTGTGATGGGTGTCCTGTAATAGAGCTATTGTTATTATGTTCGTGTTTAAAAGGGAGGGAAAAAGTGGTATAATTAAAAAGAAAAAGGGGGGGGGGTTGTTGGTGTATGTTGGTGAATTTCTTGGGGAGGGGAGGCTTGTTGGACACCTTTCACTGGACAAAATGAGGCAAGTAAGAGCCACATTTTTTAAAAAGAATTTTAACCTCTCCCTCTGGGCCAGACTCTGGGTCCGAAGGTATCTGAGTTGAAAACAGACTGCTGTCTGCTAGATCATTTCTGTGATAGAGCTGCTCTCCACACTGGCCTGTGGGAAAGGCCAGAGCTAGGCGGGGGAGAGGTAAAGCTTTTGAAACAAGACAGAAAATCGTTGGCTTTATCTTTGTTAGGAAAGCTTCAAAGATTGATCTCTCCCGCCTCATCCTTCTCCCAGAAGCGGCTCTAAAAGAAGGGGGTGAGAGGCGGCCGGCGGGAGGGGCCAGGCCAGGGAGGACTGGCCGGCTGTGGGGGAGGAGGGCAGGCCCGCCAGACCCACAGCAAGGCTGATGTGTCTGGTCTCGCAGGGCTCGTGGTTTTCATTTCCCCAACACCTGGATGCAGTCAAACACCTGGCCAAATCTGACAAAATCTGACAAGCCTTTGTGATGGGATTTGGAAGAAATTCCCTGCAGATCCTGGCACAGTTTAAAGCTGTCCGCTTTGAGTTAGGACTTGTTAAGGAGGGTTATGTGAGCTGAAACCCGAGACAACCCCTTTGCTTCTATCTGGAGCCCACATCTTGCCTGGAAATGGGGCATGACCAAGCTAAGGGGTCGCTTGCTGTTTGTATTAAAAGGGGAAGATGGCCTGTGTGCCTGCCAGAGAGGCCCCCACATGCTTTCTCTATTAAAGCCAAGCACAAACTTATCAAAAACATATGTCTGGTGTTAATCATCTGGGCTAGGGCTCCACTTGGGAGTCTAACTAGCTGTCCCTTGGCAGAAGGAATCTGTTGACCTTCTCAGCTTGCTTGAAGAGGGTGCAGAGAGGCATTTCAAACTTTTAGATGTTGGTTCAAGGGAATGTCTAACCCTAACCATACCTAAGGAGAATTGACTAAAGTAAGACCCCAGTACTTGAAGGTTGGAAGCTACAGCCTTGTTTACACTTTGGAAGCCGGTGAGCTACCCCAGGAGGCTTAGTGCTGCAGGACCCTCCCCACAGATGCAGGGGACAATAATACTGAGTGTAGTATCTTCATGAATTCAACCTTCTTCAGAAGGAGCTGGTATGAGAACTAGGACTAACTGACTTACTCAACTGCAACTGCAACTTTTGAAATCCTTTGAGATTGACCATAAATTGAGCAGAGAAACCCTATCAGATGGATTCTTGAAAATCAAATGGAATTTGTCTAGGAGGTTTGGGGGATTTTAAAAAATGTTCTTTTAATAACAAAAGAGCCAATTCTTTAATTCTCAGATTACTGTAATTCAAAATCTGACTTTTAAAAAGTCTGAAAGAATCAATTCTAAGACGTAAAATCCTTCACTTTCTTTTATTATATTTTCTCAAATAAACTTCCCCAAAGGAAGATATTTTAAGAGCATTTTTCAAACATCTTTGGCATCACATAAAAAAGAAATCTCGTGTAAAAAACGAAATGTCATCTGAACTTTTATAATACAAAGGCGCAATCCAATATGAACATATAAAATATATACAAATATAGTGCATGATCAGTCACTTAATACAGCTCTCTACAAAAAAGTAACTTTTTAGAAATTAAAAAAACCAAGTAACCACTGAATCACAAAGTTCTCTTCTCTCCTCGAGTCCAAAGTTTCTGTTTAGTGTCCCAAAGTAAGAAAAGGATGGGAGGTTTAGGGAGCCCTTCAGTTCCGCCACGGCCTCCACATGGAGTCCGCAGTGAGCGAGGGTCCGCTGGAAGGTGACATTGGGTTGGGGCCCACGGAGGTCCCGCTGTTGCTGGTGTATACTGGGATGACCGGGCCGCTGTGAGCGAAGGCCCCATTGGGGATGAGGAAGGCAAACTGGCCGTCAGGAGCCGGCACCACCTGGAAGCCGCCGAACACTTTCGCGGCCTCTCCAGCAGGGCTGCCCAGCTTGCAGGGCGCGCCGCCGGGAGGGGGCGCCGCGCCCCCGGGGATGGGTACTAGAGGCGGAGGCGGTGCGAACGGCGCGTGCTGTGGGCCGCCTGGTCCGGGCGGGGGCGGCGGCGGCGCCTGCAAGGCGGGGTGCGGCTGCCCGGGGTAGGTCATGGCGTTGATCTGGGTCATGCAGTTGGCCAGGTGGCCGAGCAGCCGGGTGCGCACCTCGGTGTTAACGCCCTCGCACGTGGACAGGAAGCGGGTCACCTCGTTCATGCACTCGCTGAAGCCGGCGCGGTACTTCCCCAGCACACTTGGGTCTGTGCTTAGCGCGGCTGCGGGCCAGAAGGAGACAGACCGGTCACAGAACGGCCCTGGACGCGAGGCCCCCGCCTCCCCGCCTGGGAGGTCCCGGCGCCGCGCCTTCCTGACCACCCGCCGGTGGAAATGCCTCTGGCTAGCAGGGGAGGGTTTAGAAAACCCCTCCAGCGACTCACTAGTTTAGCGACCGAACCTCGACCCAACCTCCCCTTTCCCAGACACTTTATTCAAACCGATCTCAGCCCCTGAGACACCCCAAACCCTATTTCTACGCAGATGTGACCTTGGGCAATGCCCTTCCACTCACACCCCACACCCTAGCCAACCGAGCCGCGTTTCTACTTCTGTAACCGGGAGCGTTGGGTGCTAAATCAGAGGACCTACACACGCTCCACACAGCTCAAAACCGCCATGGTTCTAAGTCCTTTCGCCCCCAGCCACTTCCCCCCACTGAGCTGCCTGCCGCCCTAGCCGCTACAAAGTCTCTCCCTCCCTTTCCGGAACAGTAACAACTAGGAGTTGTAGCTATAAATAAGCCCCAGACCGTGGGAACGCAAGAGTGAGCCAAGGCAGTAAAATGTAGCTGAATGCCTCTCACAACCACGGGCGGAAGTCTGGAAGAAATCACCGCGGGGCGAGAGGGACGCCCGCAGGAGGGGACGCGGTGAGCTGCACTCACCCGTCATCTGAGCCCGCTGCAGGTTCCGGAGGTGCTTCACTGTCATTTCCAGAATGTCCGCCTTCTCCAGCTTGGAATGCCGCGAGCTCTGCACACACGAGAAGTAACGTAAAGAAAGTGATATACCCGCCAGAGCCTTGAAGAACTGGGGGGGGGGGGTCCCTCCCCGCGACCGCGGTGGCTCGCCTAACAGCTCCCGACCAAGACCCGGCATTGCTGCCTCAGATAACTCAGTGCTGGCGGGGACGATCCCGCCGTGGTGAGTTTCATTCTTAGCAGCTGTGAAATAGTACTTCATTTTAAAATAATAATAATAAAAAAGCAGCATTACCCACTTACATCTTTCTTAAGGGCATCCAAAATCAGTGTTTTCAGCTGGCTCAAACTTTCATTGATTCTTGCTCTTCGTCTTTTTTCCATGATAGGCTTCGAGGACTGTAAAGGGAAAAAAAAAAAAATAGTACCGAGTTCCCATGGGATCTGCCATTTTTACCCCGGGGTTTGAGAAAAGCGCCTCCCCCCAACCCCGACTTTAATTCTTGGGGCTGCAGATATAATAGGTACTGCCCTTACCTTTCTGTGCTCAGATGCTGTCTTTGGTTTATCCGGTGTCGTGTTGACACTGGCTGGGGTAGCAGCCACCGGGGACGAGGAATTTTTCTCCATTATATCAGCTGGCATTTTCAGTTGCTTTTTTTTTTTAATCCTTAGAGAATTTTATTTTTGGAATTCTTGGCATAAATTTTTTTTTTCGTATATGCCCCTTTTACTTGAGACTTTCACAAAACTGAGCAAGTGCTGAGGGTTTATTATAATATCTTTTGGCTACTTGGTAATCGGTAGCGCTATTCCAGGACCAAGGAGAGAGGTAGACGGGGGATTCCGCTGTTATCAGCACCAGCTCCGGATCCTGTGTGATCCCCAGGCCCTGGCGGCCTCTATATATATCTGGGACTGCACGCGAACGGCTCGTGTGAAACTTCCCAAACTTTCTTTCCCACAGTAACTTTCAGCCAATGGGAGGAGGAGACACGCGGCACCGCTCGTGGACCGCGCCCCCCCATTGGCCGCCAGGCGTAAGGCCTGGCGGCCAATGGCGCGCGCCTGAGCCCGGGGCACCGGAGGCTACAAAGTCAATCAAAAGGATTTTAACCCTTTATTACTCTCCCTGCTGGGCTTTGCTTTAGAGATTTTTTTTGGGTTTGCTCTAGACTGGTTTATTTGGTAGAAGGATTTTGCTCTTTATTTCCCTTTATATTTGTAATAGAGCTGCTTGTTCATTTGTAAAATGTATTTTAAAAAGTTTAGGAGGTCAGAGACAAAAAATCAAACTAGTAATTAAAAAAAAAGAGGGAACGGGCGCAAGGGTGTGAGTTTCTGAAACCTGTGAGTGATTTCCCCTATGATTGTATACATTCTGGGAGCTAGGGGGAAGGTAAAGCATACAGGGGGGAAAACACAAAATCCCTAATCCCATTTGCATGCAGAAAAAGAAAAAAGGCTTTCCACCTTCCATTTGCAACAAGGATTTTAATTCCTGCGCTCACCCCAGCTCCCTTCTCTTCTGGAATTAGAGCCTTGGACCCCTCGTTTCCCCAGGAAACAATCAGAATAATTTCCAACTGGGCAGTAAAGGAAATGGAATTTCAAATGAAAGATGAACAAGGGGGGCTTTAATGAAAATGCTTCAGGGGCGCGCGCGCGGGCTCGTCATCCTTTTCCTTTCCACCCGTTGGCTCTCGGTTTTGCAGCACGCCGAGGTGGCGGGCCAGGCGGTAGCCCCTCCACTTCTCTCGCCACGGGCGGCTGGAGCGGACTCGGCACTCGAAACGCGCGGGCCCTTTAAGAGCTACACCAGCCGAGCTGCAGTTTGACATCAGCCGGCCGGCGAGGGCGCGCCTGGAGCCCGAGCACGTGCCAGGATGTTTTATTGCCGCCGCGGCTGCGGCCGGGCCGGGAGGATGTGTGTGTGCGTGCGTGTGTGAGTGTGTGTGCGCGCGCCCCGGGGGCAGGGAGGCGGGGGGCGGCGGCGGGCGGCGGAGCGCGGGGGCTGGTTCCTGGTCCCCGGGAGAAGCCAAGAAGGTAAATAGCAGCTGCTGTGCTCGAGCCTGGGAAAACCCCGCCCCCTGCGCCTGGTCTGGGCTCATTGGCGCGCGCTGCGTGTGGGGTGTGTGTGTGTGTCCCGCGCCCCCTCTTCCAGCCCCCGCCGGGCTAGGAATCCGAGGGGGCGGCGGGCTGGGAGCCGAGCCCCAGCGCCTACAACCTCCTCCTCCCCAGGCCCCCCCCTTCCCGGCCAAGGTCAGCTCTTCCGGGCGGGAGCGATGCCCCGGGGTGGAGAGTGGGCAATTATTCCAGCCCACCCCCTCCACGTCTGATTTGGGGCTTGGGGTTTTCACTGGCCCGCGGCCTCACTAGCAACAGCCCGGAGGAGGGGTGGGGACCTTCTTGTTTGCTCCGCGCCCTGGCCCTCCCCCTCCTTCTCCCTCCCTCCCCCCTCCCTCCCCCGCGGGGCCCCAGGCGCCCGCCGCGGTCACGAGATGCCTGACCGCACTTAGGAAGCGGCCGGGTCAGCCTCCTGCCTCCGCTTGGCGGCTGCGGTTAAAGCGGCTTCGCGCCGCCCGCCCCTTCCGCGGGTCCAGGGCGGCCGGGCAGCTCCCCCTCGCTGCACCCGGGAGGCCGCCG